AAAAAAAAAAGGAAACAATTATTGAAACCAAAAAAGGCCATCTTAAAAGAGGAAGCCGTGAATTATCTTGACATAAATTTTTAATCTCTGCCACACAGGCTTACTCCTAACTCAAAATCTTCTCTCCAAAATAATCATCGTACTAATAGCAATAAAATTCCAGCAAATTGCTGTATTGTGGTTGGCAGAATGTGTTTATGTTATTCTCAAAAGGACTCTGTCCACGCATATATTTATTTTTAAAGGCATGATTACAGTATTAACGTCAAGTATTCCTTCACGGTTCACTGGTTCAGAACATGTACCTGGTGTCATAACGTGGTATTTCACTGGGGAATCCAGTAAAATCAGATCTTTCCAATAACTTCTCGCCTGATTGAAGTAAAACAGTATGCTCTCCTGGGACAGTTGGCCAGACACAACTGTCAAATCCCTTATAACTTCATGTTTATATCTCACCTTAAGTCCAGAAGGATTGGAGGCTGCTTTTCGCCTCACGTGCAGTTCCCACTAGATAGCTATAAAACAGGACCCTCTGAGGTCACTAAAGTATGCAACACTCCCATTTTAAAGAAGGGTTAGGTGTCCTTCAAGTCAGTTACTCGTACTTGATCCATTTATTTGAGAAATATTTATTGGCTGCCTATGAGCTAGGAACAGAAGCCCCAAAGGCTTTTTGGACGGGAACTGAAGAGAGGAAGAAGCACAAAGCATCTACTGTGACGTAAGAGGCAGCCTTCGCAGAGTGGTAAGAGATACGGTAAGGGAAACTCAGGCTGCCACGGAAACCTGCAGGAAGAAAGAAGCAAGGAAGGCTTTCCAGACGGGGTGAGGTCTGAAGCTGAGACCCGAAGGACTAAGAGAAGTTTGCCACTAGAAGGGTGCACTCCTTCAATTAAGACCACCACCAAAAAGCCCCAGAGACGAATGGGCAAACAGTGTTTAAAGGCAGGGGGGCAGCCACGCTTGTCTAACGTGCCCCATGTGAGACGCAGCCGGAGGAAGGGGCATCAGAGGACACGAGGGAGCCACCGGACGACTGAGGGCAGTGGGGATGCGACACTGCACGATCGGAAAGCCCTCTCTGGCTACAGTGAGAATAATCATCAGGCAACAATGAGGGTGGCCTGAACAAAGATAAACGGGTAGACCGGAAGGGATGAAACGCATGGATGGATGAGGGAGGCGGCCGGGGAGAAGGAAGGAACCACCAAGTCAGGTCAGACAACAAGCTTCTGGTGGTAAAGGCTGGGGGGGGGGGGGGGGGGGGGGGGGGTGGTGTTGGAAGCAGCTTGGGTTCCAAGCTGGACAGGCTAAGAGTTGCTGGGAATTATCCAAGAGGCTGAAACATTCGATAAGCGGCTGGATTTGGGGACTGGAATGCAGCAAGGAACCACGGCTGGAGATGGAGATTTGGAAGCTATGTACACATACACATATATGAGAAGTGAAGCCACGAGACTAACTGAAATCTCCCAGAGACAGTGGAATGTTTCCAGGACAGAAACCCGATGGGTGTTCTAGCAACCGGGAGAAAACCCAGGAGGGAGAGCAGTGTTCAACTCTTAGGGTAGAAAATGCTTTTAAAAAGCCCTGCCAATTGTGTGAATTATGGGGGGGAGGGGGCCTGCCAATTGAGGAAAAGACTGACAAATGTCGAACTGCCTCGACAGTTAAGGAGGTGGGTTTTGTGACAAGGTGGAGCTGAACAATCCAAGGTGGCCGAGGAGGAGGAGGAACCAGGAGTGGAAAAGGGCAGCCAGAAAGGAGCCTGCTTGACCATCAGAAGGGAAGAGACACAAAAGACAGAGGGCAGGGGATCGGAGGCTTGCAGTTTAAATGGAGAGAGGTGACGCAAGGGTTCGGACAGGAGGCAAGAAGAACAGGAACAGAGACGAGAAGCCTGTAGGCGGGCTGTCGGGAGGTGCAGGGATCTGGTCTGGTTCAGAATGGCAGAAGGCATGCACAGATTGCTGACACACGGTCCGCACTCTGTACATTTCACCGGTTTGTGAAGACATGTCGTTCCTTTCCCTTCCCCACCTCCTCGCAGGTCTCTCCAGGCGTGTGAGCGGCACTGAAAATGGGACCTGATCTCAAGTGCCGCATTCCAAGAGGCAGGCTCTCAACTTCCTCAAAGCTAATCCTAAAACCTACTAAGCCCAACGCTTCCTCGGGACGAACGGCTGCCGCTAACGGAAGGTACCCACGCCATGCCCGGCACATCGGCACGCACAGCCAGCTCAGGGCGGTGTCTTATGCTACTGTCCTAGGGCAAACAGTTCGAGTTAGTGTTAAATTTCATCATCCCACCACATCTTTCTCGGAGCTGTCTCCTCATCTTTTATTCTAGACCCAATGACTGTCGGATGTGCAAAATAAAGGTAGTTTAAAAAAAAAAAAAAGAAAAAAGAAGGAATTTGGAAATGTTCCAAGATGGTTACAGAAATCTCAGATGTGTAACAAATGAAAGCTCTGGGCTCCTTAGATCTAGGTCTGCTCCTGTTTTGGCATTTGTAAAGTCCGGTTTGGATGCCAAGAAAAAAAGACGTTTCCTAGAATCACCACAACGGGCGTGGAAAGGTAACTACAGGTAGTGTATTTATACAGTAGATTAACCAAGTACTGCCCCTTAAGAACTACTCAGTATTTGCAATGAATATTGTTATGACCCTCAAGTTGAGATGATTATATAAGCAACGTGTTACTAAAGCCATATATATTCTGTAAGTAGTTTTTCCATGAAGAGACACCGAATTAAGTGTAGTCAGACCAAATAGCATCTTTTTGCAGTGTGATCAATGCTCAGAGACAAGTTCGTACCATTTGGAGACAGCAGTGAGATAAAACATGTCAACCACATGCGCTGCTCAAATAAAACAGTATAAATGAGACGACAAAGTCATTGTCAAAACACTTAATTTAACAAACTTTTCAAGGATCTAGTATATACTAATTACCAACCAACTCCTGTGTACTTTTTACACAGGCTCCCCAAGGAGAACTATTTGGTTTTATTGCCTTAAGTTAAAGCAGTGGAGATGGTTTTTTTAAAAGTATAATGTATCTGAACCCAATGGTGGATCATAGTGTCACGAAGAGAAACCAGCCCCCATTAGGTGCCTTGGGATTTGATACAAAAAGAATACAGCACCTATTCTTATCTAAAAATTCAACCGGGGTCTAATCAAATTTCTAAGAATTATGGGATAAAGAGAAGCAAATTAAGCAACGTCAAAAGGAAGCAATTACCCAAATCCAGAAACGGGGGTGACATATAAAGGACGTATAGTCCAATTTTTTAAACAAATCAATAGCACATTAATAAAATTGAGGGAGAACTACTACAGAGTAAGAGATTTAAGTTACACAAAAACCAAGTGCAATGCACACTCCTAGAACAATCCAACGTAGAAACCACCAGAAAAACATTACAAAATAATCTTGCTAGATTTATTAGGTCTAACAACGGGCATTTAAAAAATGCTTAGTAGTTGGAGACGTGTACTTACTATTTTAAACAGAATATAAATATTGCAACTCAGGGGCGCTTGGGTGGCTCAGTCGGTTAAGCGACCGACTTCGGCTCAGGTCATGATCTCGTGGTCCGTGAGTTCGAGCCCTGCGTCGGGCTCTGTGCTGACAGCTCAGAGCCTGGAGCCTGCTTCAGACCCTGTGTCTCCCTCTCTCTGACCCTCCCCCGTTCATGCTCTGTCTCTCTCTGTCTCAAAAATAAATAAACGTTTAAAAAAATAAATAAATATTGCAACTCAGATTTTTCATTGATTTTGAGGTATAAAGCCTCTCCTGTAGAATTTAAGGAAGGATGAGGTACCTCTTTCTCACTACCAAACTCTGCAAAGAATCACATTACGTCATACAAACACTCCTAACAGGGGCATCTGGGTCACTCCCGTTGATTAACCGACTCTTGGTTTCGGCTCCCGTTCATGATCTCATGGTTCGTGGGTTCCAGCCCCACATCGGGCTCTGCGTTAAAAGCGCGGAGCCTGCTTGGGATTTCTCTCCCCACCCCGCCCCCCGCCCCTCCTTGGCTGGCTTTCTCTCTCTCTCAAAAAATAAACATTAAAAAAGAAAACAAAACAAAGAACTCCTAACAGTTTTCAAAACATCGCTTTCTTTCTCTCCTCCTTTCTTCCTGGTTTGTTAATTCCTGGCAGAGCTGAGCTCCCAGGTGATGGGGGTCTGCCAGGCCTGTGCCCTTCCTCGCACTAACGGGGTGACCTCCGCTCTTACCTTCCCGTGCTCCTTTCTCACGTGGGAAATGTAAACATCTCTCTGCGTGAACAGGCGGCCACACTCCCAACACGTCCACCCGGGACTGGCCACCTTCTTGGGTTCCATGGATTTTTTCACAGGTGATGGAGACTTCTTTTCCAATTTCTCTTTCCCGTTCGTGGCTCTGGTATCCTCTTTGTTTTGATTTGCTGAATTTTGAGTTGCAGGCTTAATGCTCAAAGGCAAGTTTATACCCAAGTTTGGAGGCCCTTCAATACTTTTCAATGTTCCATGCATAGACTATGTTACAAAAAGAAAAGAAATATCTATCACAAATCGTTACCACTGAGAGAAAGCACGTGTGGACTATCTTAACACATTATAGATATTCCAATATGACGTTATATTCATTCAGAAACATTTCTTAATACAGGAAGAAGAAAACCGAAGTGAAATTCACACTTGAAAAGAGACAAAGGGGAATTAACTTTTATGGCTGCTCTAAGCGATGCATTTTTAGTTTCAAATAACTTCTGAAAGCCTGTGCCATTTTTAAATTCTTAAAAAAAAAAAAAAAAAGCCTTCTGTATTGAGTCCAAATTATTCCTGGCTGCCTATCCTCCCCCAGGGAACCCGTGAGTCCTGTGCAACACGCTCTATCTGGGGAAGAACATCTTACTTTCACATCTATCCAGAAACGCGTGAAAAGGCTGACACCGGGGCAGGTATTCAAGACCCCCAGCCGATCACCTTTAACAAGACCCTGAGACCAGAACAAAGCCTTCTCCCTCCCTTTCGTACCTTCTGCATTCTTGGAACACTTGGAAGAGTTTGGGTTTTTGTTGGGGAGTTTCGGGGGTCATTTCAATCTCCCTACAGCCTACTCCGGTCTCTCTCTTCTTACCGATACCACCCAGGCTTGTGAACTGTCTACAGCAGATGCCGATACTCAAAAAGCCTCTTACAATTGCTTAGAGTGTTTATTATCGTTCACGTAACAGCCACGACAGCTATCTGAACTTACACTCGCAGGATTCCAATTTCTAATGGGGTAAAATTAGTGCCATCTGGGTCTAAAGATCAGCTTGCTTTGGTTTTTGTTTTGTGTTCTAGAAGCAGAGTTCCCCCTCACCAAACCCTCCCTGCCCCCCTCCAAAAAAGGAGGGTAATCAGTCTGTGCCTCAATGATGTAGGTAGGATTTATCTTTTGAACAGGGCCTTCTCACGTAGCCAGCATTCAGGCTTGTAGCTACTAGCCTCAGAGTCCTGAACCTGTAGAACCTACAGAAGGACACAACGTGACACACGTTTCCGAATGAGCCCGGGGTCTCCTACGTCCCATGGACTCACACTGAATAGATCTCGGCTCCACAGTCTTTCTTGAGTGTTCAAGTAAGAAGGTGTTGCCTCAGCATGCTCTCCATCATAATTTCTCAGGAAAGCCTGCCTCTAAGCAGTGCCAAGAATTCACAGACCTTCGTCAGTACTGTCTTACCCCAGAAGGAAAAAGAGGGTCTGTCATCATGTCATGAGCAGGGGCCACACCGGTCTACCCAGAGGACACTTAAACTGGTCTCTCAAAAGGGCCTGGGAGGAATGTCTGATGTCCTTTGGCAAGAGAAAATCTGGGGCGAGACGTGATCTCTTGGTGGCCAAAAGGCTGTGCACTGGCCTTTTTCAAAACAGAAGCCAGGTTTTTCATTTTTAACCATTTAAACCCCAGAGAAAGCAAACCTCAAAATTTTCTAGCAAATTTTTCATACGTTTCTAGGCAAATACATTTTTGACAAATGAAAGTTGAGGAGAGGGTGATGTATTAAAATATTCTTCTGAAAAAAAATAAACAAAAAATAAAATAAAATAAAATAAAACAAAACAAAACATTCTTCTGTAAGCTGACCTTGCAGGGCTACAGAAATTACAGAAAAGCAGCCAAAAGTTCGGCTGTGCAATGAAATGTGTGCTAAAATGGAAATTTCTAATTCACTCATTTCATTTTCACATCACAAGTAAAAATAACATTGTTTGGTAAAAACAAGTATCTTTTTTTAATAAAAGAAATACAACTTAATTGTTAGAACTGACCTTTCCTTAGGTCCTGTAACCACATATAACTTGAATGATTGTAACTTAGAATTTGCTTTAAATGTAAATGCCAACAAGTCTACACATGGGATCCTATGCAGTGAATAAATCTATGCTTTGGCAGAAGAAATGATACAAATTGGGGGTGCCTGGGTGGCTCAGTCGATTGGGCGTCCAACTCTGGCTCAGGTCATGATCTTGCGGTTCATGAGTTCAAGCCCCACATGGGGCTCTGTGCTGACAGCTTGGAGCCTGGAGCCTGCTTCAAGTTCTGTGTCTCCTTCCCTCCCCTGCCACCTCTGTTTCTCCCTTGCTGGCATTCTGTCTCTCTGTCTCTCTCTCTCTCAAAAATAAAGATTAATTAATTAAAAAAAAAAAAAGAAATGATACCAGTTGGATTAAATTAGGCAAATAAAGATCTACCTTTACATGAACATGTATGTGGGGAAACACTGTTCCTCTCCTTTCTCTGAATTCTTTCAGTTTCAGTTTCAGTGAAAAACTGAACAGCACAGCTAGTGATACAAATAAAGTCACAAGAACTGGTGTAGATCTTAAAAATAAAACACAAAAATAGGGGGCCCCTAAACCTTTATCTTTATTCTCACCCATCCCCAAACACATAAAGAAAGGCAGGGTATTTTAAATGTATGGAACATACTTGAAATGAGAACATAAGTGAGTATTCCCACTGTTTTCGTATCATGTAGTCTTATAAGGGTTCAGGTGAATAAAAACAATTCTTTCGTCCTTGTGGCCATGGGATTTGCCACTCCTCTTCAGTCTCTATTTCTTGGAACCTTGTATGCCTCCAAATTCACTATTAACACAAGGAAGACCCTAACCGCAAAGTCGATGACCCCACTTTCCAGATGTTGTGGGTTTTTTTTTTCCTGGTCATTCACTAAATAAATATTTGTTGTCAAGACAGTTTTGTAATTTTAGTGAAAACCTTTGAAGTAACTGAAGAGGATTTTACTGCACTTCAAGCGATGATCAGGAAACCTAACTCCCATGCATTGATTCACCCTAGTAATGCCCCAGTGCCACCCCCTTCTCCCGGCTGCCAACCAGCAGACCCTCTGAGACGTTAGGTTCTTTGCAGTAGGCAGTTACACTATGTGAGCACACATAGGCTCAACACGGGAAATTTCAAGGATTAACGGTCCATTAATTTAACTACGATGAGACTAGACTAATTCAGAGACCTTCATCTGCTCTTGAAACTGACCTTTCTTGTATAATATATTAAAAAAGAGAAGAACTAAGAGAAAGAGAGATGGAGTTAATGATGCTGGGCCTGTTATTTTCTCTTTTTAAAGAGTCAAGTCCCTTTAAGCTCTGAGGGCTGCTGGATATTATCTCCTAATCACATGGGAATAAAACTGCTTATCCCATCACAGTGGGCAGTTAAGAGACTAGGACTCAAGCTCTGTCCATCATGAGCTTAAAAGGCTGTGAAGAGATTTAGGCGCCCCTTTTGGGTGTTGGGGGTGGGTTATCCAAACTGGACATTTATTTCGTTAACTGAACACTCACCAGGGACCAGACACTGTGCTGTATCCAGCACATTTCACTGTCAATTTACATGCAACCTTGATAGAAAAAAAAAAAAAAAAAAAAGACTAAAAGATCCAGGGGCATCCATTATCATGCAAATTTAACTGCTAAAATAATCTCAAGGGAAGACCCTCGTTTTCCTAAATACACCGGTATCTGTAACGAATTAACACAATTCGCCAGAGTCCTTGTCTATTTCTAAAGCCTGTACAAGACGGACTTCTCAAAGAAAAGTAAACTGCATCGTCATCATTTTCACACGTAGGACAAAAAAAAAAGAACCCTAATACTTTATTTTTCTTTTAGAACCCCAGGGCATTCATCTGTTACTCTGCGTTGATCTTTCATGGTGACCCAGATCAGGACTCAGGAATTAGCAGCGTCAGTCAAGCGAACGTCTGACGGCCGCATTCTGTAAACTGCTCAGTACCAACATCAGTACCCTTCCCTTCCCTCAACAGCATGCAGCTTCCTCGGCATCTACAGCTCAGCCTTGACTCGTGATCAATGAATGTGGGTCTGCAATGCACTTAACGGACACGAGAGATGCGCACACACCTTGATATGGTCCATCATGAGTTGCTTCTGTGCATATAAAAGGGAACAGTCGGGACACTTGAAAACAGACACCTTCTGGTTTTCGATGTGTTGGTCAAAGTGGCGATACAGCAGGGTTTGCAGGGTAAACACAGTGTCGCACATGGAACACTTATAAATTATTCTAAAACAGAAGAAGTGTGTGGACAGGTCAGTCAGCCCTCAACTCCGAAGCCGAGGGAACTGTTACTTTACATCTCAAGGGGGCAGAGGCAGTGAGAACACGTAAACACGGTAAAAAGAACAAAAACAGTTTAGCTTTGAAACAAACTTCTGAAGGCAACTGGCATCACTCAAGCGCAGACCAATCTTCACAGCTTGAGTAAAGGTGCATTCAACCGCCTTTGCAGTGAAGTCTCAATTAATGACCATTTTGTTACTTACACATCTACATCTGACACTTGTTTTGTTTTGTTTTTTACAAGATCTTCGCTTGTTCGTTATTTTAACACAGAGCAAAAGAACTCTTGATTTTTTTTTTTCCAAGTATTCTTTAAGATAGGACCAGGAACACAGCTGGATGGCGGTCCCCTAACTTGATAAAGAATTTTGTTAATGAACTTAAGTCGGGCTGTTCAGCTCTGATGCGTGCATAAGCTGTTACTTGCCCCGAGTTTTCTTTTCGAGTTCGTAACAATTTTACACTGAAATCGCAGTATTTCTCTACGTGTTCCTCATAAGGAAAGCCCTATGCCAGTAAACAATTATACACCAAAAAAAAAAAAAAAAAAAAAGGAAAGAAACAGAAAAGAAAATCCATACCACAGTTGCTTCAACACTTGAATGTCTGCTGTGTTTAAAATGGTTTAGAACACGGTCTACTACGAACCATTTCTGTACCTTTCTGCCAAGCAACCTCCTTAAAAACTAATTCGTTATACCCGAACCTTCTGAACATAATCCCCTCTATCCATCAACACCTTCCACTGAAGCTCAGGCAGGAGGGAAAGTACTAGACTCCCCCGCTACCAAACCTCTGCCTCCAGGGGCTCTCCTGGTGGTTCATGAACATATATGTCCAGGATGGGTCACCTTTCTTCAGTGACTGTTCCAGGTCTCCCTGGTCCTCAGGGGAGGCCCCAGGGACCCCTGTTCCGCCTTGGAAGGAGAATGGCGAGAAGAACAAAGAATCCTCGGAGCTTAGGAAAATGGCAGAGAAACACTGACGGAAGGGACAAGTCAGAGAGGAAAAAAGCCACGTTGTGCTTCTGTTTGCTATTTCTACAGCACAGCAAAGAAACGCATGCCTCTGGAAACCCCATGTCTTTCCTCTCAGGGTCTTCTCAAGAAAGCACTTCTCGCTTCGTGGTTCTATCAAAACATTACAGATTTAACTTTTTTTCCCCTTTTTCCACATAAAATTTGTAAGTTTAATTGGACTGAGCGGCACGGCTTTTCCAAGGTCTCGACATATTAGTAATTTAACGCAGATCACGAGCACATGTGACTGGGGAGGGGAGGGATGTTCTTGTTTGTCTGTTTGTTTTTAGGACTTCGTGACCTCGCCACACACTCGAAGGAGGCACACAAGTGATGTTGTCATCATTAACTTGACCAAGTGTGACAAGGATGTTCATTTCCTCACTATTTAAAATCGCTTAGAATTGAAAGTAGCCCCAACATCCGGTAATATTAAGTACTGAAGTCAGAGCAACTATGTGATTTTTTAAGAAGTATGCTATGGACGTATACCAATGACCAGAAAGACTTTCGTGAAAATGAACACAATACGTAACAAGGCAATATGTACGATATGACCACATCTTTCTAAGGGCACAGAAAAGAAGCAGAAGGTTATAGAACTGTCATCTCTGCGGGATGGTATTACAGGTTTTCTTACTGTTTTCCTGGTCTGTACTTCTCGGTTTTTCTGTTATTAGCATAGAGCAGTAAGAAGAAAAGAATAGCCTCAGGAAGAGAATGAAAATTTACTAGCTAGGCTAAGAGAGGTTTCCTCAGGATTCTATTCTTACATTTTCAGAAATAACTATTTCATGAAAAATGGCATGGTTCCTTCTATTCGTGCCACATTCCTTTGGGGAGGGGTTTTTGTTTGCTTTGATTTTTATGCTCTCTACCGCAGAGCAAAGAAAAGTATGAGAGAGGAGATCAACTATTTACCTAGGCATTTTTCTGGGGAACAGTTTGCCGGTAGAATACCGGGACACCGCCCCACAAACTGCTAACTCGTATGAAGGGGGAGGTGATGGCTTTCTAGAGGAGAGATCTGGCGGACACCCACTTGGCCAGATGATGAGGTCAGAACTTCCACGGGAAGCACAGACAGGCAGCATGTGTCTCTGATATAACACA